AATTAGAAGTGCTGCTTGGCTCAATTGAACCTCAATAAATCATTACTTCATTAATTTCGGGACATTGGTATTATTCCGTTAAACAAACAGGAGCACTGCCAAGAAAAATGGAAAGCCTCTACCTGCCCCTGCACCTTATTTACAGTTTGTAGCAGCAGGGTGGTTTTTGCATGAACCTCCGCTGGATTTTCTCCAGGATATTTATCCTCTTCAGTAATGTGAAAGATAAAAGAAACATACACAACACAGTTGTCCTGCAATGCTTCGGTGCAGGGCTATGTGTTGGATTTCATTAGGGTTGAACAGGATTCTTCAGATTTTTTTCCTCCACAACCTTCGTGACAAGAAGCAATGGTTTGCAACAAAAGATAAGGGAAATGTGGTCTGAAATTTAAGTGACACTACTGGCAATAAAGTTGACTACAGTCTTTGTTTATTGTAAACCAAAGCATCACAACTCATTTGACGACATATTTCCATAAAAATGCTGTAGTGATAACTTAACAAGCAGCAACTTATTTAGTAATTAGTTTGCTGGTATTATTGCGCAATGTATTAATATAGATAAATAAATAAAGCAGATGAGGAGTTTTTTAAGTTGTTTACTGCAAATTGTTTATGTTTATAAGGGGCTGAAAGAGGGATGAGTGGGCTCCAATTCTCCCACATGGTGTGGAGAAGACAGACTGTCAGGTGTGGTCTCTTGACCGAGGCAGTACAGCACACCAGTGTTATGAAGAAAAACAACAAGCCATTTACATTCAACAAGTTTTGCTCCACGCCTCCTCATTCCACCTTTGCGTGTGTGTGCGTGAGTGTGCGCACAGAGAGACAAGGCGAAGACTGCGGCTGCTGTTATTGTCAACTGGATTAAATTAAAAAAAGATTTATTCAAAAGAGCTAAAAAAATAAACAACAGACAAAGGGAGTGAGTGTGTAGCCTGAGGGAGGAAAGGACTGACAGTGAAGTGACAGACTAAAATGAGATTTTATTCTCTATGGCCGACTGTATGGGGGAGAAACGGAAAATGCACGGCTTAGACACACAAATGCACTCTCAGACGCGAACACAAAAGTGTGAAAAAACATCTTGCCTTTCCTGATCTTATCACAAATCTCACCATCAAGGCTCAAAGCTTAGAGGAACCCAAGTTTTTGAGACCTGAGAAGGGGGATGGAGACATAAGAGATGATGGTCTCAATCCTTCAGTATTACACAGCCTTGTCAGACCGACCCATTCGACATTATAAGATGTCCCTGTCCCATCTCAATTCTGCAGGGACCCTGGGCAAACAGTGACAGTGACCAGCTTCAACAAAGAAGCCCAAAGCCCCACCAAAGGTTAGCACTGACAGGAGGGCTTAGGACCACGCCACCGTTCTTTCATTCCCCATTCCATCTTTTCGCATAATCTCACATCTATCATTTCTCTCCATGCCTGTCAGCTTGCATTTCAAACTAAAGCCCCGTTGGGTCACTGCAGCCGGTCAAGGCACGCACACATATTCTAAAACAGATATCCACGTACACATGCGTATATCACACTCAAATTCATTCATCGTCACAGACAAAAGCACGCACACATGTGCAGTCTTACATACATGTCGTGCAGTAAAGGTCACACATTCAGTGCTGGACAGTGTGATAATGCATCAGACTTGGATAAACAACTAGTGGTGAAGGTGGCAGGATATAAATCAGGCACAGGCAGAGATAGCCTCCTTTCCACAGGCGACTCTTATCTACAGTCAGTGTCACAGGGAAAGTGAGTAAAAGCTTTGGTGCTACATGTATGCGTGTGTATCTAACATACTGTCTTATTACATTATCTGTTACATGCTGTGTATATTTACGTATATGTGGAAGAAATGTGCATCAAATGTCTTTCTCTATATCTTTGAGAACAGTTTATGATTCATTGCAACAATTCAAGACTTTTATTTATTTATTTATTTTTTTTTACAGTTTAGCAGTATTTGTTCATACTCACTCCAGACAATATTGTTCATGTATCCCTAAATTTGTGGGGGGGAAAGTAGACATTTTTCAAAAATGGAAAAAGATGAAAGGGAAATCGAGTTTTTCTTTTTTACTGTATTGGTATGGTTCTGGCTTTATGTAGAAAATCATTGCTAAAATTAAGATGTGTGTATGTCTCTTCATATGTATGTGTGTATTTTTGTGTGTTGTGGATGTAATGAGGTCACAGTGATGCAGTAGCGTTCCGGTTCGGAGAGCTCCATCATTCTCTGGCGGGAATACTGCAGGAGAACGGCAGGAACAGCTGTACTGCACAACTACACACACACACACACACACACACACACACACACACACACACACACACACACACACACACACACACACACACACACACACACACACACACACTCTTCCCTCCTCCCTGGAGTACCTACCTCTCATACTTTAATTTATTTCTTTCTATAACGCTAAGAAAAATGACCAAGTTGTACCACTGCAATGAACGTATGCACACAGGCTACTGGCTGAAGCCTATTTGTACCACCTATTTCTAAATTACATGGTTAACTTGCGTATATCTCATACCAATTAAACTAAATTCACCCAAAAGGGCAAGAGTATCACTGGTGGAAGAGAGACACATTCAAGAGGAAGACACAGGAGTGACTTTTTTATCTCAGTGTAGTTCAGCTGAATCGTTTTTTGCTACCAAAAATATCCCGTCCCGATCTAAGCTCTTTTACTCACATTTCAAATCAGAAACATGATTTCCCATGTTGACTATTACTGAGCATCAACCCAAAGAACCTGAATAAGAACAGGTGCTGTATAAAGCCATGACACATACTATTCCTCCCAAATCCCATCCGCTCAGGAGACCTGATTTTTCCATCTTGTCCTCAACTGAATCTCACAAAGTAATGGCACATGGTACTGTAAACTCAAACCAACCAACAGTCCTAATTAAAACTTCCAAAAGCACATATATGGATGTTATAACCCATGACAGGCAGTCTGCTCTGGTCCCACACATCTTCCTTCTTCACTATAATGAACCGTAGCCTAATATCAGCCATAACACTAATCAATCCCTGGAGTACTATCACTCTCTTTACAGTAGCACTGACATGAGCTAGAGTGGGGAAATGAAGATATTCTAATAAGAAAGATGTCATCTCCCACACTTTATAACAAACCCTTACATTAACATATCAAATGTTAATTCTATCAAGTATGGATAAGACCCTGGCTTTTCTTTTTTCCTTTATCTCTGGGGGACATTTTCAACTTTGAGGAAATCAAAAGCCTGGGTGAGACAAAAAATATTTCCTTTTATTATTCAACAGAGGCCACAGATAGCATCTTATCTCTGTGGGGTCTCTGTCATAAGAGAGAGAGGGAGAGAGCGAGAGAGAGAGGGAGAGAGCGAGAGAGAGCTTTAAAGGAAAGGTACACACGTTATGTTCACAAAAGATGTTCAAACATATGAGTGCATACAAACATACACCATCACGCATGAACTCACACAAACAAACAAGGAAGGGCCAAACACGCCCTGTTAAATCCAATTAACCCTCTGCTCTGATTTCCTCAATGCATCCCTGCCCCTGTCTTGTAACACCAGACCTTCCCGCCATTTCATTAGCACACACACACACACACACACAGATTCTCTCATCCTCTACCTTTCCACAATTGCAACCCAGTCATAACCCTTCTAATGCACCTCCTATAATCCAATCAGCCAATCATTGCTCTTCATTCAAAAGCCTATGTCACATGACTACCCGCACGTTAGCCCTACGTTTGCAGTTAGCGCTGTCATTTGGCACTAATGTTATTCCAGAGGATTTTTTTTCTTTAATGTGATTTGGGAAGTCTCAACTCCGGCTTCCATGAGTCTAGCGCTAAACCCCCAGTGGGCTAGGCTAATCAGTTTCCAGCATTTCTGAGGGAGACAATGATCCCAGTGTTAGCGCTGGCTAATGACAAGCTAACACAATTAGCCTAGCCTCCCTGGAGGAGAGCTCAGAGCCAGGGCCCATTCTTGCCCCACCTCCTGCAGGCTCCTCATCCACTTTCCTTACATTACTATGGAGCCTAATGGCCTCTTATTAAGAAGACAGATGGAACACGGATGGGGGGGCATTCTGCATCTTCTTGAATTACATATATGTGTTGGGTATGTGCTTCATCCGTAACTGCTTGGATGCTTAATATTACCTTCCCTGTTAATAGCTTCAATGAAGTAATTGTTCTTTTCACTGCAAGGTGTGGCTGTAACATGTGTTTAGAGCATAGCACTATCAGAGTGAGGACCACATATGCACTTCTGGTACTGTAATGCACTTTAGATAAAAGTAGATGCTAAAAATATTTAATATTTCTTGGAGTACAAGACTAGTGGTAAGTAGTTCGCAATCTACAAGAGGGCAAAACTTTTTGAAAGCCAATGTAGTCTTCTTTTCTGCAGCACAGAGGTTATCTTGAAACACTAACCATGTTATAAAACTGTTCCAAATTATTTCATAATCCCGTTTGTCCAAGGTCTGGTTGAAGATGAGATTTTACAGACTAAATTAAGCTCTTTCAACAGTGAAAAATGTAACAGGGCACAAGAAAAGCCCTGTCAGCTATCATTAACATTCGATCAGGCTTATCAGTGAACCACATCGTCAACATCAGCTAATGGGATGGGCTAATGCAGTTCTGATTGAAAGATGTAGGTTAGAATGTGGCTAGCATAATTCAATAGCATGTTCACTGGTCCACATGGATTTCAAATGTTCAATGAATGCATAATTTTAGAAAATACACATGAAGGTCATCAAATAAATACTTGCTATAAAAAACCATTTCTACCAGAAAAGTGTTTTTATGAAAAAGTAATTTAAAAGAAACAAGAAAGCAACATTGAAAGTTTTATTTTCTGAGCTATTACTAAAGAATAGGTACAACTCCTGGTATGTGATTAAAAGTTTTCGATCTACTTTGGATCGACTTCGTCTTAACTTACTTGAACTTGGCATTCACTTGGTCGGCAGCTTTATGGTAGTTCTCTGTGGTGACCTTGTAGAACTGGGCGCTCTGCAGAGGGACATAGAGAAAAGCCAGTGAGTGAGACAAATGCATGAAAATGTGTTTCTTATATAAAAAAAGACCATCCAATATATTCACATCTTTTTGGTTGAAGCTATTTAGGCAAAAGGCCACATTTCAGCAAACAGTTAAGATCTGGTATAGTCCAGTACAGTGCAGCTGAGCCTATACAGCCATGCTTCATCGACCACCACTCTAACTCCATTAAAACTTAATGGAGAGGGATATTAAGGGCACAGGTCTATTGCCATTTGGGCTTATTGTCCACAACACGGAAGCTAACTTTGTGATCTGTAATGTATATGGTTTGTAAGTGGGGATTATGTTTGTAGGTATGAAGTCTGCAGCGATGAAAAATATCAGCATTTTTTCTATTTTGTCTTGTTTCTGTGTGGTTGTGCACCATGTACGTTTGCCTCTCTGTGTGAGTGTGGGAATTACAGATATTTGTGTGTTTATGTGGCTGTGTTTATCCTCTCACAAACAACTGCTGTAATAACAGGCAGCAATCCTATAGGGTCAGAGGGTCGCTAGTCAACATTGCACAGACCACTGGTCATAATCCCCTGGTGACCCATAGCAAATGAACCCATAGCAGAACCCCTCAACCTGAATTACCTACTCAAACACGGCCATATAACCTAGCTCCTACACCATTTATACTACTTGAGGAAGATCTGTTTTGTCAGCCCTTAGCGGCTTTTCTGCACATTTATGATCAAATGGTGAGAGGTTGTAAAGTGTGATGGATGGCTTGACTAAGGTTTGATCTAGAGGCAAAATTAGGCAATGTCTACCAATGCCAATGTCTTCCTGTGAACTTTAATGACAGTCATACTTAAACACATATTTTCATTAAAAAAGCATAGTTCACACAAGCATGAACTTTTCTTCCGAATTAGACAGGTCAGAGATTTTGTGCCAATCAGTACTGCATGATGAAGTGCTCAGCTAAAGATTCAGAATGTAATTATCCAAAATCATAAGCAGACCTTCACAAGAACCACAAAAAAATCTACAAAAAAAAAAAAGCTTTAATTTAGTGCAAAGCAAGTTGGTCTTGTCAGGTGGTTCTGGAGAAGTTTTTAAATTTTTAAAAAACATACTTTTATACAATCTGTGCATTGTTAAAAGAACAACAATTACATGTCTTAGCAAAGGCCTGACAATAACCTTAGACTTCAAAAGAATTCACTGGAAACCAAATGTTTCAATCGTCATGCATGAATTACACTGGATACATTAGAAAAGTGACAAATGTAAGCCTCTTGGTCCCATCTGCCCTAACATAACCTCCTTGCGGGAAAGACATTCATCATAGTTCAGAAAAGATCAATGGGAATGAACTGCGCTGCTGAAAAGATCAATAGTCATGTGTTGTAGAGCTAAAAGAAGATGAGACATGACAACACTGACAAAAGGTCTGATACAGATTTGAGTCCTCTTCATTTGAATGGACTCTGGACTCTGACAGTTTGCAATAGATTCAGAGTCCTCCACTTTTTCACAGACGTCATTTTAAAAAAGTTTTTTTTTTACATCAATATGCAGACTGCTCACCATGAAAACACGATTATGTACACGATATATACACTAGAGCAGGGATTTCCAACGTAGGCCACGAGTAGCCTATGGGGGGCCCACTGAGCATGTTCTCAACCTTCATGCATAACACTTCCAAGGGAGTGTACTTGGGTTCCATTGTGTCAAAGCATTCAAAAAACATTACTGATTAAGATTTCTCATAAGATCCTTCAGTGTTAATACAACAACCAGAGAAAAAAAAATAAGTTCCATTCCCGCTATGTTATTCTATTGAAAGCATCAATTTAACATGGCGTTCGTATACAGAGTATCCCTCCTGACAATTTTCTCCTTTTAGGTTGTCCTCCATCTGAAAAAGGTTGGAGACCAAGTATATAGCATATGCAGTATATAGCATTTATATACTTTACATATATATATATATATATATATATATATATATATATATGTGTGTACTGAACTGAAACAAATCACCCATTTACATATATTTTACATTTAATTCATATTTTATTTACACTCTTTGCTCTGACAATTCAGGTTTTTCAGATACATTTTGTTTCCTTTTGATTATTCATGAGATGTCTTAAGTTGACACATGATTTATGTCTATGTGGAGTCCCATATCCCATGAGTAATTAAGTCATGATCTCCAAGAAACCCTACTTACCTGTCCACAATATATAAGAGGGTATGAGACTGTTATTTTCAATAATTTCAAATGTTAGTAAAAAATTGTAAGAGACTGAAAAACACAAGAGAAAATATAAAAGGTCCTGCATGGAATGTATAAAAGAACAAAATGTGGAAAATAATTAATGGGTCTGAATACTCTCTAACAATTGACTGCAGTTGTCCCTCAGGCAGACATCAGTTTGTATGTAAAACACTATAAACAAGTATGCCCAAAGTTTAAGAGTTAACTTGTAAGCTCATTCTATATCTGTGCCCTCTTGGCCTTGAATCAAGTGGTTTTCAGTGTAGACAAAGAAACTGTCAAGAGCTAAGGAAAAGGATTTAAAAGAGAAGCTTATTCACAGATAAAAAGACTAAAAAGAGATTTTTGGGGCTGCTAAAGAGGCGAAAATAAGACTTCTCCTGGGTGCCGAGATTGAGGCATTGGAAGAGAAAAAGAAAGTCAGAAAGAACTGGATTTGGGTCTCTGTCTAGAATACTAAGTATAAGGTAATAATACCTGGCTAAATGGCAGAGCTGGCACTAATCAGTGCAATAATCCACCAGGGAGGACAAAAGGCCATGTGTGACAATGATTGCAGACCACTTACAATACACACACGCACACACACACACTCACTCACACACACTCACACACTCTCACACACACACACACACACACACAAACAATGCACCTGCATTCACGCCAACAACTACACACAAAAGGTACTAACACACTAGTACATTTGTGGACATGCTGCAAAACGTGTCTACACATACCCTGGTGGCTGGATATAAACAGTCACTCAATCGCTCGCCACCAGGCAGAGAAGAGTGTAATTTGTGTGATTACTGAGTGGTCTCAAATTGTGATTTCCAGCTGTTGGTCCAACTGATTTAAAGAGTAGCCCTGACCTTTTGTTAGCCCAGAGATGAGAGCCTATGCTTGGTTTGGTTGAAAACATTCCTCCCTGGACTGAAAAAAAAAAATTTTTTTCCAGCTTCGAAAAAACAACCTTGTTTTGATTGCTGTCAACCAAATCATCCAGTGTCAATGGATGAACAGAAGTGTGTAGCTACAAGAACCTCGTATTGTGTATGCCTCATGTGCAAGTATCTACCTCTAAACCAGTGTTTATTTTCCATTCACTCTATTTGCTTTCCACTAGGTTTTTAGCTCATCTGGAGCCATCAATATGCTGGTGGGGGGTGTCATAGACAAATTAAGTCATTACTGCTAATGCACTGCAGCGATATGGAGAAGATAGAAGCTGCACCCCAACGCAGGTTCCAGCTCAATTTAGAGAAAAAAGCCTCCAATTTTTAATGAATAAAACAAATAACTCCCTGTCCTGATGGCTTCTTTCTCTTATCTGCTGCTGAGCAGGAGGGCCGAAATGGGGAGAAACCCCACCATGGCCAACATTACGGTTCTGCAGAGCTAGAGAAAATGAGACTTCTGCTGTGTGACTCACTGCAACTCGCTCATAAGGGGAGCAAAGAGGCTGACAAACTGTTATTGAGATTGAGCCTATCTTGCACACACAGAACTGACTAAGCATTGACAAAAATTTGCCTTAAGGGGCAAGACAACATCCTGGGGGGGAGGTGCGCAGATATGAAAACCAGAACTGTCCATTTTTGCCATCAACATGTTAAAACTCCTTAAAGGACCTACTTTGAGGCTAAAGTAATTAAATCTGCCTACCAGCACCTATCACCATGTGTTCAGACAGAACGCAAGGCCAATTTTAGAGGTGGAGCTAGCATACAAAGTAAACAGAAAAATGTGATCAGGCACGAATTTGCCCAGAGCAGTACGACTTGACACATAGACTCAGTTGAAACTGTTTCCATTTGAGCAAAACATCTGCACGTATCCCGGGGCTTTATAATTCTACTTTGTGAACATAGAAAGACTGGAGGAAAATAGTTTCTGATGAGTTCTGAGATCAGTCAGAGGCACAAACTCACACAGACACACTCTAACACACGTTGATGTGTCAAATGCTAGTTAGTTTACAGCTAAAGTCTGTGCGGTCGGTAAACTGGCTGTTTGGGGAGAATAAACACAAATGTCCAGCAGTCAAATTTGAAGCAAAAAACAAAATGTAAAAATGGCATACTGTAGTTTTATGGGAGCTATGTGCCGGACCAGGCTCAGTCACTTCCTGGAATCCCTGCCGGCTGCCTGGCATTCTCACAGACCTAGCTAGTTTCCCGCTTTGTGCTAAGCTAGGCTAACCCGCTGCTGGCTTCTTCAGCTTCATATTTATGATATAGACACGAGAGTGGTATCAATCTTCTCCTCTAGCTCTCGGCAAGAAAGCATAACAGCATATTTCGCAACTATTCCTTACATTTATATGAGCAATTTAAAGTTTTTAGTTCTTTAAATCAATTTTCTAGCAAACCACTAGATGTTCTCTCTCTCTCTCTCTCTCTCTCTCTCTCTCTCTCTCTTCTATCTATATATATATATATATATATATATATATCTCAACAAATTAGGCAATGCAAGACAGCTAGCTTAATAACTAAGTAAAATGTGTTACACCCTTATTTTCATTTTTACACCTTTCAATATAATGCAGTCCAATAAAATACCACCAGTTAGTTAGTCTCTGTGACTTAGTTTCAAGAAAAACTGAGCCTCATAAGCTGACATTTAAAAAGTTGTATCTCAGCATTATTCTTTTAGCCTGTGGAGTGTTACTGCTGTAGGATTTTTATAAAACATAAACTAATGTGCCACTCTGTTGTTGTGAAATCACTATTCCTTGAAAAGACTTCCAGTTAAATCCCTGTGAATCCCATCATGCAGCTATAACAGCAAACAGTCTCAGACACAATAATTCAACACTGCAGCACACTGTCATGTCTCTTTGGATTACTGTCTCCAGTTATACAACTAGCAGAGCTAGATAAGACAACATTGATTGCTTCATGGTTAAAAAAACCCACTTTCTTCTACAAAACAGAAACAAGATAAGCCAAAAACAACTGTTTTAATTTAAATTTTTAACACCACAAGCATAATGCAGTTGAAATTTTAGCCCCATTCTACAGACAGCGAGACAGAGGGCAAAAGGCTGAGAGGGAGAGGGATAGAGAAATGATAGACTGAGGGAGAGATGAAGATAGCAAGTCAGAAACGTCGACAGAGATAGAGAGATAGAAGCTATTACTGTTTTTTTAATGCTCTTTCCCCTGTATTTCTTCCTTTCACAGCGCTGTGGAACTTTGCTATGAGATGGCAATTGCTGCAGTGATTGTCCTCCATGGGAGAGCAGAAAAATCCAATTTCATCGATATACAAGGCGAAAAGAAAGATAGAAAAAAGAGAAGAAAAATGTCTTCTAAAAAAAAAAAAAGAAAGAAAAGAAATTGAGGTATGAAGAAAAAACAAAACACCACTCCAAAAAGAAAAGAAAAAAAAAGCTGAAAAGGAGAAATATAGAGACAGATGTGCTGGGGAGGGAGGGCTAGAAAGAGACATTGTAGAAAGAAAAAAGAGAAAAAAAAAAACATGGGCAAGTTGATTGTTAAATATGAGATTGTTTTACAGCAGGGCAGGTATTGAGTGAAAATGTAATAAATATATAGATATTGTTTTCAGGGGCTATTTGGTAGCTGTGGCCCCAATGAGCGGCAACAGCCGAAACAGCAGGCTGAGCTGCCTGGGAGCCTGGTGATGGCCTGTCACTGGAAGCCCCTCTGATGAATGGCCATGTTGGATTGGAACAGACGTGTAATATATATCAGACTTATATTCTCTCTCTCTCTCTCTCTCTCTCTCTCTCTCTCTCTCTTTTGGTGCCTCTTTCTGTTGGTGTGTGAAGATGCTGGGGGAATCCTGAGGTAAAGGGAGGAATGGAGGGCAGATGGAGGGAGGGTGAGGAACGTGATGGGAGATAATATTAAGCTAGCAGTATACTCCCAGTGAAATCAAATTTACTGCATTCTCACTGACAAAATAAAGGGTTAGCGAGCGGGAAGAGGCACAGCATTGGGCGCTGATACAGAGTTTCTTTTGACACGCTATCACTCTCATGAATATTTAAATCAGCCATGTGATGTCTCAAAACAAATCCTGTGCACTAAACCCTGCAACACCAAATCATCTTACTCTACTCACAAATTTTGTTGTGTGGTGCAGTAACGTGCATTACAAGGCTGCAGCCAATGGTTTTCATTATAGATTAATCTGTTGATTATATTCCAATAATTGAGGAGATAAGATGCACGCTCAAACTCAAGGATATATAATTTCTATAGATTTAAAACAACAAATTCTCACATTTACTGTCTATTATCTATTTGTATTATTCACCTAGAGTGGACACCATGAACCAAGCAGGAGTTATAGTGAGTACACGGGAACAGAGCATGCCAAAAATGATTTTGTTTGGTATACTGCAGGGCGTACTCTGGGTGAAGAGGACTGGGAGTGAAGAGATGATGGACTGGGTGCCAAATGGGGCACTGTGGCCAGAACAAGAAAAATCAGCGTTATTTAACACAGTCCAAACAAACTGCACCCCCTATGGAGTCCCAAGCCGCTTGCTGCACAGTAAGACAACATGCAATATGCCCACATTGATCCTCAGTTATACACGGGATCACACACCATCACACAAAACGCACACATGCTTGCCACTTCGGTTGTGTTTCGTCTCTGCAGGCCATTGAGCCTGAGAACATTTTCAAATCGAAAATGGTGGTGTTTGTGTGCAAATTTTGAAGACAAAGTGCTTGTGAAATATGATGAATTTATCATTTAATTCATCATTAAATAAAGCAGTGAGCCCACTGTTCATTTTCACAGACCCTTTCTTCGTCTCACATTCCCCATTTCTCACACTCGCCTTCCATTTTATTTTACCTTTCCGTGATGTAGTGCTCTTTCAACCTTTTCTTTACAGTGTCTCTTGTTCTTTGTCATTCAGTGACATTTTATCTTTTTACCACTCTTCTATTTCTTCCACTTTTGTCTTTTTCTTGTTCTTATCCTCACTCACTCACTCACAAATGTCACTTTATCATAATATCTTGTGATACTTTCTCAGGTAGAATCTCAAACTGTCCTTTTTCTATCTTGTCTTATCTCATGTTGAATCTCTGGTTTCTCTCTTTTTCCTTTAGTTTCCATCTTCAATACAATATTCCTTTCAGTCCATCCCTGTCTCTCTGTCTTTCAATCTTCTGTCGCTTTCTGTGGTGTGAAGGTGATTTGTTGACACTTTGATCTAGGGAATATTGACCAGAGGCCAACATGGCTGATGGATGGCTAGCGCCTGAAGTCGATAATGCCTGCGTTAGTTGGGACTCATCACATCTACCATCAGAGCTCACATTTGCTCCTATACAAGGCAACGCAGTAGAGCTACACTGTCCAAAGATGTAATAATGCAACACGATTGAAAGACAGAAGCTCAGCTATACGACTGGATTTGTGAGGTTTAAGTGCAAACAGAGAACATGCCTGCATCTCATATTATTTTAAAATCCTTAGGGTTTTTTTTACCAAGCCAATGAAAGTCTGTAACAAAAGTTGTTTTCTTTGCAAATGATCAATAAATTAATTCACACTGTTCCTTGACGTCAGCAAACAGGGATCCTCTGTTACCCAACCAAAACTGTACAGACCAATGCACTTCCAATTACTGACAGAAGGCCACTACCACTCAATACTCAATACTCAGAGGTTGGGTCAAAGAATGTATACACAGTGAAGGAAGGAAAATTTGCAACTAAACCACACTAAAAACAATAAACCAGCATGGTTATTGCAAATTTGAATTACTTATCAGCTAAAACAAACTTTCAGATAGCAAAAAAGAACAGAATATTTAAAGCAATCTCTGTAACGATGAGGTGTGCACACAAACGGAAAAGCATGCACAGGGTAAGACACCATGTTTTCACCAAGAAAACACCAGCCATTTAAATAAAGAAAAACTTATTTGACATTAAGGTTCTTTTGAGAACAATCTACCCACTGAGTATGTGATATTTTGCTATCCTTGTATGCATGTGAATTTATATAAACTTCTAAGAGTTCTAAGAATAAGAATAAGAATCGTTCACAATGAAATCTGGTTTCACAATGGTGCGAAATTTCCATTTTGCCTGCACTATGGGCATTTGACTTCTTGCACCCTCCAAAGGGGAGAAACCTCCTTCCCAGTATGAAGGCATCATTTTAAGCACGTTACATAGGGCATTTTATCCTTGCTAAGATACACTTATGATTTGAGAGCAGCATGAAGGCATCCTCTTTAAACACACTTTAACAGGGCATTTGACCCTGGTTTCCTGCCTTGCAGGCATGTCTCACTGGGACCAGCATGGAGCTGCCAATTGAAGTGGGTTAAGCATGGCAGCTGACCCTTGTCCCCCTCCATAGGACGCTGGTTTGACAAGGAACATCGAGGTAGTGTCATTTTCAGGGACAGGAGGACACACACTGAGATGAATGAGATGTAACCTTTTATCCTTCAGGTGGAGGGACGGAGAGTGAATTTAAGAAAAAAAGAGCCAGAGAGCAAAAGAGCGGCAGAGAGGCAATTACAGAGAGTCGGAGAACAACAGAGGGAGCGTTGAACACCACACTGGGGAAAGCATGCAGAGTTTAAGTTGAAGGATGATAACAAAAGCAGTGGGGCAGAGGGATGAAGAAAAAGAATAAATGTGACTGTACTTTGGCTGAGCCCAGTGGTGACCAAGCCCACTGTGCATGCTGGCTAAATTGTGTGTACAAATCTGTGTGCTTTTCTCTGTGTGCACTGCTGCTGTTGATGAGTGCATTATACATTAATAGAGGTATGATATGAAAACTTTTCCCCAGGCAGAAACTAGAGTTGCAGGCAGTGTGTGATGTATGTTCATGAAAATAACAACGATGCCCTTGCTTGGTGACTATATAATGCAGCATTTAGTTTTTACTTTGTCTTCTGCATAAAATGGAAAGTTACTTTTTGCTTCACCTTTGGATACTGCATCCTTCACCTTGGGATGCTCTTGTTAGTTTGATGCTTTGGTTTGGTTTGGTTTTGTTCCATTATTAAGGTCTTTTTTTAATTTCCTTTTTGTGGTTATGTTGTAGCACAAAACTGTTGTTTTCCCCTCAGTGATTTGCTTGGTCCCCATAAAAACAAAACATCTAAAGCAGTTTTGTCAAGTTAGTCTACCCCAGTGTGCAATTAACCAACTTCCATAAGAATCCCATTAAATAGACATGTGCCATATGTAAAGCTCTACATATAAAAGGCACAGTACACTTGCCGCATCCTGTCCTGAGTTGGTTTCTGCTTTTTAAAAAGCAAAAAGTGTTGGTATCTGCATTCCCACCGACAAGATCCCCACCTTGTCATAGGAGACAAATTACTGATATACCACCTGAAAAATCTAATAAAAACTAAAAGAAAATCCATTAGGTGTGTTTCTCCAACTTTGGCTGAGTAATTAGGTAATTGAAGGGTGATAAAAGCTTTACCGTTACCATTAAAATAAACCACTATCGTAAGATGATTGAAATATCATCACTTTATTTCTTGGAGCAATTGGAAGAGCCTTGTTTTGTGAGTTGGGTAGAGAATTTGGATGTCGGACATCAACATATTTTCCCAGTAAGAAAATGGTAATTACCGGAGACTCAGGTTGGGTTACCTATAACGATTAATGTAATGTCCATATACGGTCATTTTTCATGTTGGTGTCTGGTGCAAACTGTTTCTCACCCTCTCCTCCAGCCGTGCCACCTGCTCTCTGTAGAAAGCATCCTGCTTCTTTAGATCTGCTTCTCTTGCCTCCAGCTGTTTCACCTAAACACGCACAAATAACAAACACACACACACACACACACACACACACACACACACACACACGTACCCATATGCAGCATACACACATGCACACGCAGAAGAGAAGAAAAACCATTACTTATGTGATCAGTGGAGCAGTGACAATTTTAACAAACTGATTACAAAATACACACATACACATGAGAGAGGCCTATAATGAGAACTCAGACAAGTGTGTATAAATAAGAGACACATTATAATACAACACAGACACAGGGTTTCTGTTTAATGGCATATATAGACTGTGAAACACATTGTGAATGATTTCTTTAATGTAATGTTTCATGATGTGTGCCTGCCACCGCAAGAGGTTTAGGCGAGTTTTGCATGTAAGGGAACAAGTGCACATTTTGCTTAATGTGTAGAAAATACATGTGTGATGCTTTGACATGTATTGTATGTGCTTCTTTGTCCTCTTGTGTTCAATCTTCACCCAAACCACTATCAGGCCAAGAGGATAAGATCAGTTCTCAGTGCGAAGGAGCACCATGGTCTGGCGTATATATTTACCCAGCATACCAATCTCCACTGTCCTCCCCTCTACTGTGACCTTCACTAAACGTACGGCTGACTCTCTGGGTGATATACAGAACAGATAAGACCTGGATGTATCAGCTCCCAGACAGAAGAAAACAGACCTTCACACTGGGACGGAGGGCCATGACTCAAATCAAAATTGAAATTAAAATGTTATTAATAGTGATAGAAGTTTAATCCTCTCTACAGACAGAACACAGTTTTGTGGACCACATATTTTGTATTTTGGTAATTACTTCTCAGCATTTACTTGACAAAGTCTATAGGTACATTAATAGCTGTGGTATGAATGATAATGCTATATAGACTGGTGGAATTCAGACTTGCATCAAGCAAACCAAAAACATTCATAGTATTCTAAAATATACTATAAAAAGTCTGTAAAAGAAAAGGTGAAAAACCTTTAAACAAGACAGGGAACTGTGTTACTGAAAGCCACAGTGAACTTTAGCATTTTGTATTACTGCTCCCTTCTGATAATAACTCTTCAGAAACGAGCCAAAAGAGAAGCTGTTAAAAGGGATAATCAAAACTTTGAGCAGTTGAAATACCTGGTGGAAAGAAAAATGTAACATGTCGAAGCAGCTGAAAGAGGAAAGAAATTCTTGACTCTATCATGCAGAAACAGTGAGAGAGAGAACTGTAGAGTCTAGGAGAAGGTAGGTAAAGACCTCTGGACTTACCTTCTGTCCTATCTCCTGAATAAGGGGAGCATTTAAAGAAAACAAGAGATAGAGAAAAAGAAAAAGAGTGTAAAGAGGCAATGATTCATCTACGGACTTCTTGTGACGTTTGGAAAAGGTTTAGTATTCAGAGGCCAGGGGTGACTGGCTACCGCATTGTTCTGCTTGAACACTCACACTTCATCCTCTCAATCTCCTCCCTCACAGGCATACTCAAACACACACCAGTGCATAGACACACAACACATTTATGGTATATAACAATATACCATTATGCACACATGCACAGTTACATAGATTGAAGCTCAAAGTCAAACACACACACACACACCACCTTACTGCAGAGGACTATGGAAAGCAGCCATGCAAGCCTTTGCTTTAAGCACTATAGGATGTTGAAGGAGACACAGGGTGAGTTTGAAGAAAATACAACGTATGGAGAAAAAGAAATTGCATTACCCCATCCAATCCCAACTACACTGATAACCATCTGTGTTTGGCTACTCAATGCACTGCAGGCAGAGCTGGGCGCTCTATGCATTGTGATGAGGAGCAGCGACGAGTGTCACCGAGGGGCTGTCCTCACATGAAATGAGTGGGGGAAGTTTCAAAGTCAAGGGGGATACTCCGAGCTTACCCACTACACACAAGACAGAAACCTACTTACACAGGCGAACACCTGCAAACGCACAAGTTATGTCATCTCCAGATCCAGATGTAGAGAAATAAACCTCCACAGCAACACTTTATGACATTCCTGACATCACTCAGTAAAGCAACACCGGAGCCAAGTTGCCGCTTTCTCAGCTGTCCTCAGCACTAACATTAACCAGCCATATTGTTGCGGCCGCACCATTGTCTCCATTGTTTCCCCTTTAAAAGTCTGAAGTGCTATTGTGTTGCCAAAGCTGCCTGCACTTCGCGATGGAATCAAGCTGAACTTAAATCTAGATAGTGCTGGGTGATTGTACCCTGAAGTACACCCTTAAAGGTATAAGTACACTAGAAGCAGCATTATTACGACCTCTAAATGTGTTATCGATTTAAAGCATGCAATCAGAGCTCCTATGATGGATTGGCAAAGTTTTAGGGACTGGATTACCAAGGTGCCAAAAAACTGTCTCCCACCAACAGCTCAATTTAAGAGGAAGCGAAGAGGGATGATGGGATGGAGGGAAAGACAGAGGAGAGGATTGGCAGGGGGTGGTGTACTGTCACAAGTGTGTCCAAATTCAATGTTACGCTGATAGGTGGCGACTAAAGACTTTAGCTTTGCAGAGAAAGACAAAAGATGCACACAGACACCGAGACACAAACAACGGCTCAGACACTGATCTGAAACGCACACATCAGCACATACACACATCCACACACCAGCCGGAGCAGCTGTACCCACAGAGAGCGGGTGGAGAGATAAATGCGTGCTGAAGGCGAGACTAAAGGGGTCATTAAAAGAGGAGAGGTTGTGACAGAAATGTGTATCTAGGGATTTTCTTTTATTTTTGCTCACTTTTGTTTGTGTCAATGCGTATGCGTGTGCGTACATGTAGCCATGCATGTGTTCAATTTCCATGCAAGCAGGTTGGCCCTCCTCTTTGACGTCACACACACACACACACACACACACACACACACACACACACCCCCACCCACACACCCACACACCCACCCACACACACACACACACACACACACACTCTATGTCAGGATTACTTCCGACCGATTAACCCCATTCAGCAGACTTTAAAGATAATCTAATCATACTAAAGGCCAAACAATGGGACAGACTTCACCACTGCCCATACACCTTTTGTTCCCCTAATGAAGAGGCGGTCACGGGTGGAGGAGGAGAGCTAGGGTAAGGGTGGGGGGAAGGAAGAGGAAGAGAAGGGCAGAATTTGACAAGAAAATGGAAAAGAACTTGAGAGTGGAAAGAACAGAGAGATAAGAGACAAAGAGAGGAGGAGGACAATAAAAGGTGATTTATCATTGGAGGTGTCAAGAACGGGGAACTGGCTGTTAGATGGGACATGGAGCCTGGGCCAAGTGCGTCTCTATGACTTTAGAAAGAAGTTAAAGAGAGAAAATGATCACAAAGTACAGAAAGAAGTAAAGTGGAGAAACAAGAGAAAAGGGGACACCTGAAGCTTTTACAACTTTCCAGCTTTGAAATCCAGACTTTCTCCCAGACAATGATTTCTTGGTGGAAGTGAAAAATGACTGTCAATCACTCTCATGATGAAACTGAGTTTTTTTTTTATCTTTTATGAGCAATTTCAAAACTTTGCAAGTCCAGAGGATGATGCAATTCATTTTGGCTAATTCACTAATTCTAATTCAGCCCCACTCTGTCTAATTTTCCTGTGCAGCAACCCTTGACATGAAAAAGAAAAAGCATAGTTAAAACACAAGCACTCACAACAACACCCTCCCACTGTCAACACACTGCTATTTGAAGCCCAGGAAACCACATTAACATCAACAGCTAACTTTTCCATTTACCCTCCTGTATCCATCTCCCCCTGGTCTCTTATTAAGTACAGTAGCACAATGGCTGAGGGTGACAGGCGGTTGAGAGTGAGACCGTGGTGGTCAGATTAAACGGATCGTTTAGGCGAGGTGAACGCCTCTGTGAATATCAATTAGCCAGCCGCTGAATAATTAAGGACAGCCATGTTTTTTAATTAGCAGACTGCCGCAGTTTGAGCTGGGAGTGAGGGTGGAGAGAAGAGGAGGAGAGGAGGGGAGGAGAACAGGATGGAAGAAGGATGGAAGAGGGATGAAAACAGGTGGATTTTGCTGCGTCAGGCCCACCACCCACCTCCTGTTCTCTCACTGATTTGCTCCCATACACTCTATTTTCTTTCACACCTGCTTCTTTTTGTGAGAGTGTTCTCTCTGTTCACATTATTCTTTTAAAGCATTCCAAGGGACTGAAATAAAAATAACTCCTGCCTGCAGCATTCAGAAGGCTTAAGGCAATTGCATGTGTGAGTATGTACTGTGTAAGGCTATGTATGGGACTCTGTTATAATCATTTACAGGGATAATACAATTACGTCATATTATTATAGTTTCCTGCTCTCCTACTACTACTACTACTACTACTACTACTACTACACAAACCATGGTGTTTCCCTTACCCTAACCAAGTTGTTTTTGTGCTTAACCAAACTTTACCCCATTGATGCACCATAAATCACATTATAAAACTGATTTTTTTAGAAGGCATGGACAAATTACATCATTCTGCCGATATCAGAAAACGCTGTAATAGGTCATTCTAGTATGGTTCCATGCTTTTCTGGCCTGTACCTACAATCCCTTGTCACACGATAAACATTTCTTTGAGCTTTGAGCAGTTTAACCAAACTTTTACTTTTTCTTCTTAAATTGTTTCATTTTAACAACTTTTAGAGGCCTGGTAAAACTATCCAGTGTTTGACAAGAAAAACGTATATTACTGCATAAGAGACAAGTCTGCAAATAATGGACAAAATTTAGTGGAGAAGAAATACGTTTTTTGATTTATTTTCTATCCCATTCATCATCTTGTTACAGCTGTCATATATATTGTAACACCTTTTGGCAGGGCTGACCCCAGGTCGAGAACCATTTGACTTAAACAAGTGGATCTTCTCATGATAGAATTAAATTTATGACAGGTTTACAATACTAGTTGCCAACAGCATAAATTTAGGCTAGGCACCACAATATAAAAAATAAAAAAACATTGCTTGAGAATAAAAATCTAATTATGGCCATTAGCAATTCTGTACATATTACATTTTTCATTTCACACCTCAGTGGTGAAGACCTCTGTATTGTAACAACGAGGTGACTCACTGGTACATGTTTGCCCACTACATGCTTATAAATCATGCTAGATGAAAATGCTGCCATGATCGATAGAGCACAAATCAAATCTCATCACAATAACTAACAGCGCCTCATCCATAACCTTGGTCTCCTTTGTCTTCCCCTGCCACCATCAGCTCAGGCCTGATTCACCCCTGTCACGGGTAGCATCATAATCAATGCTCCCTCACACCATCCAAGTGAGTGCTGCAGCATGGTGGGTCAGAGCTGCTCACCACGGCCCATCTATCACAGACCTGCGCGACAGCGCCCTGTGACAAACTAATACTGAAGCCGCGGGCCTCAGGTCCTGTGTGCTCCGACAGGCAGGGAGGGGGTCAAAGGGCAGCACAATGTGACCGTGCTCTGGTGTTAATTGGCACGGCAGAGGTGTAGGTGGCATATGGGAGGTTAGAGATGGATAGAGGTAAGGGAGGGGGGAGTTCATGGGGTAGAAAAGATGAAAGGGAGGGAGAGAGATGGGTCAATGTGTGGATGGAATATGGATGACAAGATAGTTGGAGGGAGAATTGGGTTTTCTGACAGTTGGTCATATCAAGCTTGGAGATACAAGAATATTTTATGAAGGGACACACAGTCTCTTTTTGCAGCCACAAACACATGCATATAAAGCTCACACACAAAGATGGTTTCAGACACACATTCCTCCCACAAATCTTGGCACATCCCGTAACTGCCTCTAAAACCATTGCAACTCTACCTTTAAAAGCTATCAGTGGCAGATCAAATCTAAGTGATGGAGTGTAAAATGATATCACCTAACACAGACCTTATTGGCAGTATTATGCATTACCCTTAGAGTCACTAATAAAACATAAGTCATGGTAGCAGTAGCTGTAAAACTCCATTGGAAACTATTCACTGGCTGGCTGGTTAATTAGCATCATGGGGTTTTACTGATCAGCAATAACACTTAGTTTCATGGCTAGCTATTAGTCTCCATGGGAGGTGGTAGGGTTATGGGCGACAAAATCATGTCAGTGTGGTCAGTTAATGGGCTTAACCTTGACTGATAATACTTAAGGACAAACACACTGTCAAACACTTATTCACACACATACTGACGCCTGAGAAAAATTTCACTTTTTATTACTAACAATCCTGTGACAGGATTCAATGTTTTTCTTAGCTGAGCA